CTAACACCAAGATACCTATAAGAGGATCCTGTGAGTGGAGAGGCTCCCAGGGTGACGTGGTGGGGAAATTTGTCTGTTGTGTTTACTGCAAGGCATTGTAGTACTGCCCCTCAGAGCTGTGCTTCTCTTTCTGAAACAGTCAAGCAGTTCCGGGCACATCAAAGGAAATTATCATTCCTCTGGCACCGGCTTTGTTTTTCACTGCCTCTAAAAGAAACAGGTCCACTTATCTCCAGAATGCTTTCCCAGAAAGCTCAGTCCTCGCTGAGTGAGGTCACCGGTCCACAATTTGCATCCATCACACCTTGTAGGAAGTGGGGAGAAATTGGCTTGCTTTGTTTTCCAGCACTGAGGAAACAGATTTCTTCTTAAGCTTCACACAATAAATTGTATTAAATCCTTTCAGCAGGGTTTCCATGGCTATGAGAAAGGAAAATCATACAGTAATTGTTTTAAATAATACAGCAAGGCAAACTGGAGAGTACATCTTAATTTTTGTCATCTGTGCTGTGTTCCTGTTTGTATGGAAATGTTCCCGAGGCAGAGGAAAGGTTTCTTTATTCACTGGGAGTTGCTTGGCTAATGTAATGCAAGGTCAAACACAAACCGAAATAAACAGAGCTACTGAATCCCTCAGCTTCTTCCTCTGTCCTTCTGAGCCCCAGGGTTTGTGTGCTTACTTTAAGTGAGAATTAGGATGGCATTTATCTCTTTGCTGCTTGGGCACTAAAATGGACCCTTCACTGCCTAATTCCTGCTTCTCCCTCAGTCCTCCATGCAGAGAGAGAGTTAGATGTCTGCCCTAGACAAAGGCCATGCCTGAGAGGAACCTTGATTATAAATCTGTCCCCAGGCTGGCTGGTACCTGGGGAATTCTGCAGGGTTAAGCCTTTCTACCAGTGTTATCACAGTCATTCACAACAAAATATCACGCATAAGAGTCCAGGTCTTCCTAATGGACTGTCCAAGGTTCAGGTCTCAGCCCCAACAACCAGGCTGCTGCAAGCTGCCTACCCTCTCCGAGATTCACTTCTTCATCAGTAAAATGAGGATGGTGATACCTATACACTCACATTCTGGCTCTCAAATCAGGTAAAGGATATAAAGTGCTTATCCTAGTGCCTGAAAAAGCATCAAGGCTCAATAAATAGTAGTAGTGTTTTATTACCATTATCATTATTAGTATTTGGTTGTAGAAGAAACTACCTCTCTCATAAGGTGAACTGGAAGGCTGCTGCCTGCCTAGGTGGTATCCAGATTAAATTCAACAAATACTACTGAGCTCATTCCAGACGTCACAGAGCTGGTGGTTAGTGTTGGGAAATTGGCAAAGAAGGTCTGCTTCCTGCCCTGAGGAGCTCTCAGTCTAGAACTAGGACCCTCACCAACTGATGCCGATGAACATTACACTCAGATGGTACTTGACCATGGCTAGCCTGTGTTGTGCAATTACCCCAGGGAGAAAACAATTCCTAACTTAGTCCTGGACAATCAGCTGGGTAGTGAGCTCTGTACTGTCACTTACAGAAAATGTCATGTTGGGTCCCAATCATAGGGCCCATGTATCCCTATTTAGAAGTAGACAATTCAACTTCTAAACAGGGATACAAGTAGATTCCTTCAACCAAGCCCCAAAGAGAGTCAGGTAGACTTTACCCCAGGGCCTAGTCCTTTGACCATGAGGATGCTGATGGGAACCTCATGTGGCCGGGGATGGGGGAGTGGAGAAAAGAGAAGATGGGAGCCGAGGAGGCAGAGCCTCACCAAGTATGAGATCACTTGGCAGACAAACCAGCATTGGAAGGAAAAGGACATTGGCTCGAGTCACAGTCTGCCATTTTGAACTCTGGAAGTTTATTTTAGCCTTTTAAAAAAAATGTTTTACAACATGGACAATAAAAAGTAAGAGAACACAGGAAGAAGATTCACCCACACAGAAGTCATCTTTGGAGCCAAAACCAAGACATAGTTGAGATGCTTTGCTTTAGTCTGTGCCTGTGAGAGACACTCACTCTCTGCAGGCCCCATGGGAGTTGTGGAACAGCCCCATCAGACTCCAGGGTTGCCTGAGAGCGCATCAGTCTATGGCCCCTAGAGGCCAGTGTGGCCCTGCCCGGTACCTCTGGTCTGTGGCTTCTGCCTACAGCTCCCTTGGTCAATCCCAAGCCTGTCCATTTTTCCAGATGCAGCTCATGCCCTACTCACTTCCCTCTTTAGAACTTTATCCCAAGGTGGAGCAGGTTTGATGCCAGAGGTGGGGCCCCTCCTGTGTCGCCCTCTACTCTGGTACTTACCCCTGCCCTGGCCATACTTCTTGTTTACCTGTCTGTCTCCCCTCCTGGTTCATGAGCCCCTCATGATCACAGGGGAGGAATTGTCTCTTAAGTGTGGAGCATCCCCAAAGCATAGCACAGGGCCTGGTGCATAGAAGTATGCAATAAATGGTTGTTGAATGAGTAAATGCCTATATAAACGAGTGGGTGATAAAACTCGCTGAACATCAAGACATTCTTTTAAACCTTTCGGATGGGGTACAGCCTCTTTAAGTTTGCCCTCACCTCATGTGGAATTCCAGCACCCGCTCACCCAACCACAGGCACACACAGTGTACAACAGCAGCATCCTAGGCCTCCAGGGGGCTTTAGAGTCCCCCTCCTTCTCTCTAGGCTGGTGCCTCTGGACTCACTGTAACAAGGACTGGGTCTGCTCACTATGACCTTCATGAGCTAGGCCTGCTCAGCACATGTGGAGGTGGTAAGTACCACCTACGGAAGCATAACAGCCCCATTTTAAAAGGCCAAGTGTTTCTAATTCTTTTGAGCCCAGGATTTTTTCAGAACGCTTCCCCTGTGAATCAAATCCCCTATAGTCCACTATAGAAAAATTGACAGCAAATACCAAGATGCTAACGACCTAACCGTGCTCTCAGGTCCTTAGTAAAATGACCAGACTCTTAAAGTAGTTCTTCCCACATGGCCCCACGCATCTCATCTACCTTTCAACAAAAGCAGATGATGCACACTGATTCACTAACCATAGTAACTATTTACTGACACACCCTCTGTCACTGTACTGTCACTTTTCATACATTCTCTCTTTTAATTCCCACAACAAACCCATTAGGTGGGTTCTGTTTTGAATCCCATTTTATAGATGAGAAAAATGAAGTTCAGATATTTTAGGTGACTTGCCCACAATCACACAGTTAATAAATGATGAACTTGAGATTTGAAACCATGACTGTTGACCTCTGCGATATAACGTTCTCTGGTTATCTCTTGTTATGTAACAAAGCATCATCAAAATTTAATGGCTTAAAACAATTTATCATCTCTCTTATGGTTCTGTGGGTTGACTGGCTCAGGTGGGAAGTTTTCACCTAGAGTCTCTCATGCGAATGAAGTCAGATGGGAGCTGGGGCTGCAGTCATCTGGAGGCTCTACTGGGCTGGATGTCCAAGATGACAACTCATATGGCCACCAGTCAATGTCACTGAGGACTGGGAGTTCTTCTGGGGCTACTGATTGAGCATCTATATGCAGTCTGTGTGATTTGGGCTTCTCACAGAATTTAGAATCCACAGAATAGTGGGAGTATTCTAAGAGAAAACTTTCCAAGAGATCCAGGCAGAAACTGCAAGACTTCTAATGCACTAATCTCCAAAGTCACAAACTTCACTTTCTGTGTATTCTACTGGTCAAGCAATTCCCGAAGGCCAGCTTGGATTCAATAGGAGGAAGATAAGACAATAACTCTTAATAGGAAGAGGGTCAAAGATTTGTAGTCATCTTTAGTTTGTCACAGTCTGCCCTCTGGTTGCATATTATCTACATTCTTCCCACATAGTAAATACACATGTCTCCTCCTAAGACCCAAAAGTCTCATCCCATAATGCCATCCACTCAAGTTGGAGGTCCAGGATTTCATCACCTAAGTCAGATCCTGATGCAGATGAGCTCCTTGGAGTGCAGTTCCCTGAGTACAGCTCCTCTTAATCTGAAAACCTGTGAGATGAAGAGACAAATTATCTGTCCCACACACATAAATACAGTGGTGATACAGAGATAGCTCAGCTTCACTAAAGCTTTCATTCAAAAGGGAAAGAAATGGAAGGCACATCGCAGTCACTGATCCACAGCAATTCTAGAATCCAGTCAGGTGCATGTTGCCAGATCCTTGGCTACTGAGTTTCCAGTCATGCTTCCCTGGGAATGACTGGAGCTCTTGGCTCCCCACTCCTACTGGGATTTGGATTCTGGTCTGTGAATCATTCTTCCTTTTTCATAAGAAATGGCCATGTTTCAATCATTAAAAAATCTGGAGACAACAGATGCTAGAGAAGATGTGGAGAAATAGGAACACTTTTACACTGTTGGTGGGAGTGCAAATTTGTGCAACCTTTGTTGAAGACAATGTGGCAATTTCTCAAGGACCTAGAAACAGAAATACCATTTGACCCAGCAATTCCACTACTGGGTATATATCCAAAGAATTATAAATTTTTCTGTTATAAAGACACATGCACACATATGTTCATTGCGGCACTGTTTACAAGAGCAAAGACCTGGAACCAATCCAAATGTCCATCAATGATAGACTGGATAAAGAAAATGTGGCACATATACACCATGGAATACGATGCAGCCATAAAAAATGATGAGTTTGTGTCCTTCATGGGGACATGGATGAATCTGGAAACCATCATTCTCAGCAAACTGACACAAGAACAGAAAATCAAACACCACATGTTCTCACTCATAAGCGGATGTTGAACAATGAGAACACGTGGACACAGGGAGAGGAGCATCACACATTGTGGTCAGTTGAGGGGGGCTAGGGGAGGGACGGCGGGAGGTGGGGAGGGATAACGTGGGGAGAAATACCAGATATAGGTGACGGGGGGATGAAGGCAGCAAACCACCTTGCCATGTATGTACCTATGCAACAATTCTGCATGATCTGCACATGTACCCCAGGACCTAAAGTGTAATTTTTTTAAAAAATGACTATGTTTGTAGCTCGGCAGCCTTGTTGTCCTACTTCCTACCCATAGAAAGCTCTCTACAGTTTGAACTGCCTCTGTCCTATTTATTTCAAGCTGATGGTGCTTCCACATGTATAATTCTCTTAAATTTTACTTCATTAGTTAAATATATACCTACAAATCTCTTTAAGGTATGCCACTTTCTGCCTTCGGCTGAGAGTTAGTTGCTATGGAATAATGCCCTTCAGATTCCTTCAAAGTCTGTGAGGTAGACTTCCACCTCCCCAGGTGGCCTGGGCTTCTGACAGCATGCCACCTTAAAGATTTCTAAAATCTTAGCAAGTGTCTTAGAGCCATACCTTTGAGATGAACATTACCTTATATCATGTCTTACTTTGAGAACTTTTTTTCCAACTGGAGAGGCTTGGAATGAAAAGCAGCTTTATTTCTAAACCCAGCAAGTCCGGCTTCTAATACTCCATCTAAGTTTTGCTTGAAGCTGAATAGTTCATTTTGGAGGAGGGGTTTTCACTTCCCTATATTCACACTTTACCATACTTGCCTAAGAGAAGCATGTTTAGCATTCTGCCTGGAAGTCCCCTTAGCCAAATCTGCCATTTCCTAGGTATATTTTCTGTTTTTCATATTACGAAAAGCAACAGTATACCAAATTATCCATCATTACAAAACAAAGGATGCCTTTTTCCAGCTTCCAATAACAATGTCCTCATTTTCCCTCTAGTTCTCATTAATAGTTTCCTCAGGGACCTCCCAGCTTCTTCCTGCTGCTTGGTCCCCAAAGCCAACGTCCCACATATTAAGTTTTCATTATGGCAGCACTCCAGGTCCCAAATTCTGTTCTAAGTATCCATAGTTGCATAAAATGCCACCCAAAACGTAATTGTTTAAAACTACAATTTATTATTTATCATGGTTTCATGGTTGACTTGGTTCAGCTAGATGATTCTCATTTGTGCTTTCTCTTACAGTTGCAGTCAGACGTTGGCCGGGGCTGCACTTATCTGAAGGCTTGATTGGGATCCAGGTCTATGATGGCACACTCAGATAGCTGGCAGCTGACACTGGCTGTGGGATGGAAGCTCAGCTGGAGCACCTCCTTATGGCCTCTCCATGTGGCGTGGCTTTCTTACCACATGCCACCTGGTTCCAAGAGGGACTAATCTGAGAGTGAATGTTTCAGGAGACCCAGGCAGAAACTACAACACTTCCTATGACCTAACCACAGAAGTCCTGGAACATCATTTTCACTATAGTTTATTAGTCAAGCAAGTCACTATGACCAGCTTAGTTTCAAAAAGAGAGGAATTAAGGAAAGAAGAAGACATAGAGACTTGCCTCTCCTTAAGAATCCATCTCTTAATGGGAAGCAAGTCTGTGTCCTCTCCTTTCATACTAGTGTATAAAAATGGTGGGTCAGCTCTGCATATCTGGTAACTCATTCCTTTAAATATTGATGCTGATCCTGCTCCCAAGGCCATCTTGTCTCTTACCTTACAAAGATATACACATATCCTAGAAATAGATAGACTCAATCTGACATTCTTCTGAGCTTTATAGTTGTAAAATATGTTAACTTTTAGTAATTTTAGGACACATAAAAGCTAAAATTGATAAGACAATGGCTCTGTCAAACAGCTATCCATAGAAAACCCAGATCAAGAATATTGCCTCTCAATCCCCAGAGCTTTCTCGCTACACTAAATGGGGCCCCGTGGGGCCAGGTACTGAGGGGATTCCCCTGTCTGTACTCCACCCATCACTAGCTTCCTCCTGTCCCCTGGCAGGCCCTAAACTGGGCACTGGCTCATTCTCACAAATACCTCAAGGGGGAGTGGAAAGGGAGGGGGCACCTGTTTTGTTTAATTGGAACTGGAACAGTCCTATTTTATGCCCTTCCCAGAAAGGGGGAGGGATACCAGGATCTCACTTCTGACTGGCCACCACCACTGTCACTCATTACATTGAGTGTGCATCCCTCGAGAGTTTGTATAAATTCAGGTCAGAGCTGCAGCTACATAGCCGTCCAGTGTCATAGAAAAGCAATTCGTGGATGATCGATCTCTCCATTCAGAAGCATGCAGACTTCATGTACAGTGATGAAAAATAGTTATCATATAATCTTTTCATTAAAAGCTTGGTTGAAAACTAAAAAAAAAAAAAAAAAAGGAATATTGCCTCTCTTTAGGCAATTTCTTCATGAACAATTAGCTGCCTGAAACAAAGAAGAAAACACCCAGATCAAACATGTTTATAACCTTCAATTAATTACCACTGGTAAGTGGCAGACCAAAGCGTAAGTGTATGTCCAATTACGCACCTTACAGGCCATCTCTTTTGTGGTGTAATAAGCCATCAGCCCCCTTTTGCTCTCTTCATCCTTCAGAATGGCTATCTGATGTGGGTGAAAGTGAGTGGTCATTCTCCACTTGTGCTTCCTCTGCCTCCGTCTACAAGCACGACAGAAGGAGGGAGGAGGCTGTTAGGGCAGAGGGGTGGAGGAAAGAAATGCAGCAAGGGCCTCTGTGATTGTATAACTATGACAAAGGATACGCACTGTCCTGCTCAAATGACCATTTGACATTATCTCTACCTTGCTGAAAGCGAGTATAGCTTGGAGAGAATGGGCATGAGCTCTGGAGTCAGACAGCTCAGATTTGGTCCCTGGCCTTTCCATTTAGTGTGCTGCAATGGACAAGTTATTTACCCTCTTCGTGCCTCATTTCCTCAGTTCTCAATACTCAACCTCCTTCTCCTGTTAATTGCATGTAATTACCCGATCACTCCCTCCTTCTGAAAACACCCAGAGTGACTGAAGAGTCAGGGAGAGCTGACTTAACAACACTGGGCAATCAGGTGAGCACATCTGAGAAGGCAGCATTTAAGCTGAGCCTTGAATGACAAGAAGAACCCAGCAGGCTTGTAACAGTCACGGCAGGTGTATTAGTTTCCTGCAGCTGCTGTAACAAATTACCACAAACTGGGCAGCTTAAAACAACAGAAATGTATTCTCTCGCAGATCTGGAAGCCAGAACTCTGAAATCAAGGTGGCAAGGCTGCCCTCCCTCCAAAAACTCCAGGGGAGAATCTGTTCCTTGCCTCTTCCAGCTTCTGGTGGCTCCAGGGTTATTTGGCTGTGATCACATCTCTCCCATCTCTACCTTTGTGGCCACATTGCCTCCTCCTCTTCTCTGTGTGTCTTCTCCTCTGTGGGTCTGTCTTATAAGGATGCTTGTGATCACATTTAGAGCCTCCCGAATAATCCAGGATAAGTGCCTCTTGTCAAGATTCTTAATTTAATCACATATTTTTTCCATATAGAGTAATATTCACAGGTTCCAGGGAATTGTAGGTGAACATATATTTTGGGGGCCACTATTCAACCCACTGCAGTGTGGTCAAGGAATAAAAAGAAGATCAATGGGTCTTTTTAGACTGGTAAGTGGATTAGTATTTACCAACAATGAGAAGTCATTGGAGATCTCAGGCAGAGTTTATACTGAGATGTGTAGACGTGTGTGTGTGTGTGTGTGTGTGTGTGTGTGTGTGTGTGTGTAGTTCTTTTTAGAGGCAGCATCTTGCTCTGTACCCCAGGCTGGAGTGCAATGGTGCATTCCTAGCTCACTGTAACCTTGAACTCCTGGGTTCATGCAATCCTCCTGTACCTGGGACTACAAGCACACACCATTGATAGCTAATTTTTACATTTTTAATAGAGTTGGGGTCTCAGTATGTTGTCCAGGCTGGTCTCAAACTGCTGGCCTCAAGTGATCAGCCTGCCTTGGCCTCTCAAAGTGCTGGGATTACAGGCATGAACCACTGTGCCCGGCCTATACTGAGATACGTCTTATGGTGATCACTGATCACTTTAGCTGCTTTGTAAAGAATGAAATTGCAGGGAGAGTAGAAGCAGAAAGACCAGTTCAGAGGCCATTGCCAATCTGAAAACTTGAATACGGGGCAGATCTGATATTCTCCATGTAGATCACAGGCAAATAAACCTTCATCAGAGCCTGTAACACAATATCGCTCATAAGAACAAGTTTTTGATAAAGCAACTTCTAATTCTAAATTCTACGAAATAGGACTATGCCCTGGCCCCACTTTATTTTACCTTTAACCCAAATAATTTACTTCCGCTATTAACTAAAATGAACTCATGATTTCTCTTCTACAGCATTTGGGGACTTCCTCCATTATACTGATGTCATGGTTTTAGAGTCAGGAACTCAGAGTGACCTTGAGAAGAAATTAAAACATCTGATAACAACAATCAGAACAATCTCACGTCGGCCATACAAAAGTGAAAATATTTGCAGTAGGGGGCAAGTGGGTAAGTAATAGACTGAATATATCCTGTCTTAGTCTGTTCAGGTGCCATAACAAAGTACTGTAGATTGGGTAACTCATCAACAACAGAAATTTACTTCTTACAGTTTTGGAGGCTGGAGGTCTGAGATAGATTGGGGTGCAAACAAGGCTGGGCTCTGATGAGGGCTCTCTTCTGGGCTGCAGATAGCCGTCTTCTTTCTGTATTCTCACATTGAGGAAAGACAGCAAGCTGGCTCCCTGGACTCTTCTTATAAGGGCATCAATCTCATTCATGGGGGCTCCATCCTCAAGACTTAATCACCCCTAAAGGTTCCACCTCCTACTATAATCACATTGGGATTAGGGTTTCAATATATGAATTTTGGGGGAACACAGTCAGACCATTGCACCCCCAACCATACCCTGCAGGCCTTTGTTTTCACATGAAAGTTTCCTTGCAACCAGCTTAGTTGATGGGTTCATTCGCTTGTAGATGTGTTCAGAAATAGACTTTCTGCAGAGATGAGACTGAGCATTTTTGTAATTAAAAAGAAGCAGTGATTTTATTAATGTTGCTTTTCATACCACAGTTGTCTCTTTCATGAGTAGAGCAGAAATCTTAACCAAATACATGTTTCATGTGCTTAAACTAGCCATTGAAATAGAAACGTTGGTTCTATTTCAAAAACAGATGTTGACTCTACCAGCAGTTATTCCTGCAACCACCTTCTGGTTTTGTCTTGCCTCATAAGGAAAGGGAGGAGAGGACCAACATTTATGCCACCCACTTTGTGGGGTCTCACTTTGTGGCAGAGACTTCTGATTATCCTTCAATGTTCAGTCTTCTTCCCTATGCTTCTTCACCCTCGATTAGTAACAGGAGCCTTGATTCTTAGCTAGTTAGAGTTGCCAGATAAAATATAGGACATCCAATTAAATTTGAATCCCAAATGAACAGTGAAAAAAAAAAGTGTATTTTCCAAATAGTGCATGAGACATACTTATGCTAAAAAAACTATTGTTTATCTAAAATTCTGACTTAATTGGGTGTCCCATATTTAACTGGGTTGTCCTGAATAAAGATGACATTTCTCCCCTTTCCCTGAGGCTAGGTGAGACCTTGTGACAAAATTCTGGCCAGAGGGATGTAAATACAAGTGTTCTTAATGTGCCCTCTCCAGTTCTTCTTCCTGCCTGCATGCTGGGATGTGAAGGTGATTCGGGAACTCCAGCAGTCATTTTGGGCCATGAAGTGATCTTGGGAATGGAAGCCATGTGTGGTACAACAACAAGCTAGAAGGAGTCTGGTCCCTGGCCTAGAAGAGGAGTGAAAAATAAACTTCTACCTTATTGTAGTCATTGCTATCTTGTCTTTTTTTCTGCTACTTACAGCTGAAGCTAATAGTACCTACTACACTGTGTCTTCTAATTCTCAGTTAACCTTAAAAGACACATTATTCACATTTTGGCAAATAGAATCCTGAGGCTGAGAGAAGTAATTTGGCCAAGTTGGTCACATAGCAAGCATTGGGTCCAATTTTGAAACCCAGTCTACGCGAAGGGTATCCTGGGCTCTTATTTTTCTACAATACATTGCTTCTCCGGGTGATAATTTTTTATCAAAGTCCTAAGGTTTTATAGCATTATATTAAATTTGCCTCTGCATGTCTGCTATCTAAAGCATTTAGCTTTCTCCCTCATCAAAACCACAGAACGGGACATTTCTGGTGTCTGTCAATGTTATAGGATCTAAAACTCCATCCCTAGATCTGATATTTGAGAGATCTGAACCAAAGGACACATTATGTATTTATTTGTTTCCTTTGGGATTGCTAACGAAATTTTTCTAGTCTATATTATAATAGTTCTCTAAGTGAGTTATGATTCAATATGAAGTGCTCACTTTTATAGAGAATCAGTATTAAAAGGCCTATTTGTCTATATCTTTTGAAACATACTGTGTTGTTTGTTGTTCCTTGTAGAATAGAATTTTCATGCAATAAATTTCACACTGAATTTAATGCCAGAAAAAATATTTTTAATATCTATTCAGGCACAATTCTATGTTTGTTTGTTTTTGCTTTTATTTTTGCCAAATATCAAGACAATTTAACAGTTACTTTTTTTGCTTTGGTTTCTAGGCATCTTGGAGTTAAATCTTGTGTTTATTTGTGATCATTCAATCATTCCAGATACTAAAATATTTATTTCTGATTTTTTTCTTTTTTAAAATCTATTTTTTTCTGTTTATCCAACAGCTTTTCTTTTCTTGTCTCTACGTTTCCACTTCAGGATACATTTTTATTACTATTGACTACCTCAAATCTGCCTTCATTTAGTTCACAAATGCTTATTCATTGCCTCCCTTGCATACCATACTCGCCTGAAAGAAAGTAAGCTGCAAGCTATAAATTCCTAACTGAGCCTTTTGCTTGCAACTCATGAATATTATTTTCTTTTGAAATGGGCCCACAAATCTCTACCAGATAACTTATTCCAGATTAGGTGAAGATCAACAACAAACTCAATATTTTCCAAATTTTACATTTTTTCCTTTGTTTTAAAAACCAAGATATTAGTCCCATCATTCCAGCTTTCTGACAGAAAGCATGTAGCAGTCACAAATTTCAGGTTCCATTCATAGGACCCATCCTAGAGAAAACTGTGGAGGGAGCAGCGTTTTGACAGCAGCATTTCTGCTGCCATTTCTTTTGCAATTGGGGCTTTGCTCTGGGTTTCTGAACACTGAGTACTTCTGGGCCCTCTTTTCACCCACTTCTAGCTACCAACCCTCTTCTCAAAGGACGTCACAGGCACTGATTGCAGCTTTGTGTGAATGTCACTCTTTTCTCCCCCAGGGGAATGGCATATTAACCCTTTATAGCAAATTAGGAAATGAAGGGCTTCATCCCGGTTAGAGGAAATGTATACACTGTTGAATACGTTTTAAGAAGGGGGCGGGGGTGAAAAGCAAGACCTGAGAGCCTGGAAGACGGCAAGACCCTGGGGCCTTCCTGATGTCTCTGAAGTGGCTGTGCAGAGTCAGCATCCACACGCCTGCTTGTCCTGCCCAGCCAAGCAACTGGCAGGTGCATGTCTCCATGGTGATGCAGCCTGTTCCGTCCAATGTTACTGAGCTTTCAAAGGGCCAAAAAAAAAACAGCCAAGCAGAAAATTTGAGCCTTTCTGATAGACCAGGGAGGGAGAATTGGAATTTTTATTTTTTGCCCCCCACTGTTAGAAATGGTTGACCCTATCATCTAGAATACCCTGAGCCTTCTGCTCTTTCATGCTGAAAAGAGAGACCAGCAACGGCCCATATTCCTGAAGAATCTGCTTGTCTCCTCCTTGACGGTCCCCTCCCTCACACATGGGGTTTCCCTCTGCCCACAGGCTCTTCTTGGAGGAGGTTCCTGATCCCCTCTGGCCTCACAAAGGGAAATCTTGTGCAGTGATTCACAGGCATTATGGTTCACAAACCCCTTTCACATGCTCCACGAGGTAGGTGGATGACCTCTGCATTCCTGCTGAGGAAACAAGCTCAGGAAAATTTAGTGGCTTGTATGAGATTTACAAAAAAAATGAAAAAAGCAGAGCTGGGACTAAGAGGTCATAGCTCTCACTCCAAGACAAGAGTTATTTTCGGTTCTCTTCAGCGAATGTATCTGCTGAGAGCCAAGCAGGTTGGGCTCCTCTCAGAAGCCTCCTGCTGGCAGGTCCTCGGCCCCTTCCCTTCATTCCCCCTTCGCTGTGCTCACACCTCTCACCTTCCAGGCGGCTGCTGATGTGACTGTTCCTAGGCTGTGAGTCTGTCAATGGCAGCGACAGTGTCTGATTCAACTCCAGCTACCCCATGCCTAGCACCATAAATATCAAATGAAGAAATAAACTGAGAGCTAGCCCCTTACTGCTGTTCTACCAACATAAGGAGAGTGCTCTTGTCCTTCTGGAACCCTGTATAGAAAAAAAATCATTTTCTTGGCTGTCATCTCCACTGCACCCTTGCTGTGTTCACTGAATAAAGGAGCAGGCTTTACGTGCTGAGGGACATTTCAGTGGGAAAGATTTAAAGCCCTGGAATAATATCTGCCTCATTAAGTCCAATCAGAAAATCAAACAAACCAGAATACGGTGTTTTTTCTGTTTTTGTCTTTAACAGCTTTGGAATTGTGGTCAGTGGAAACAGCATCGTTTGCAGTAAAAATATTCCTGGCTAGCCAAGTGACACATCTGGTTAGTCAAGGATGAGGAAGAGAACAAACTCTTTCGTTTCTCAGCAGCTCAGGAGAAGGCATCTGGGTGGGTCTGCTCATGAGAATGTTTGTGAAATGTCATTTGAGAAACTCTAGCAGAGCAAGGATGATGAATTTCATAACTGAAATCAGGATTCAGGTCCAGAATAAAGTTTGGACAATTTTATAAAGCCATGGAGTAGATGAGATCCTACATGAGGGCAATTATTCTATCCCTCCCCTGCTCTGCAGGACAAGACTGAAATTATCCTAGAAAATTCACCCTCTCTTTTTGAAAATCTCTAGAATAGGAAATTCTTAAAACTTTCCTGGGTGAGCCTTTTAAATACCTCAAAGTCTTTATGGGAAGAAAAGCTTTCTTTCTTTCTAACCCAAATCCTTCTTGCTGAAATTCAAATCCATTCCCTCTTGTTTGAGGATCAGCCAAGGATTTAATGCCTTCATCAATTTGCATCAATAAATGTAATAAACTTACTGGTTTTTTAAGATGTGTAAAGTACACCTATTAGCACTCTTTGTTGCAAGTAAATACCCAACTCACAGTAACTAAAACCATAAAAGAAATTCTTTGATCCCCATAAATGAAAAGTACAGACATAAGCTGAGCCTTGGCATCTTAATAACGTCAGTAAGGGCCTGGCTTATTTTCTATTATCTGCTCTGCTTACCATAGTGTCAGAGTCATTCTGAAGCTATTTCCCTCATGGTGGCAAAATAGCTGCAGCAGTTCCACACCTCACAGGTTTATACTACACCCTCCTGCTATAGTTTGGATGTTTGTCCCTTCCAAGCCTCATGCTGAAATTTGATCTACAATGTTAGAGGTGGGCCCCAATAGGAGGTGTTTCAATCATGGGGGTGGATCCCTCATGAATAGATCAATGCCTCTCTCAAGGGCTAGTGTTCTTACTCTATTAGCTTCCTCAATAACTGGCTGTTTAAAAAGGACCCAGCACCTCCCATATTCTCTCTTATTTCTCTCTCATTATGTGATCTCTGCACAGGCCAGCTCTCCTTTACTTTCTGCCATGAGTAGAAGCAGCCTGAGGCCCTCATCAAATGCCCATGCCCAATCTTTAACTTTCCAGCCATCAGAATCATGAGCCAAATAAACCTTTTTTCTTTATAAGTTACCCGGCCTCAAACATTCTGTTATCACAACACAAACCGACTAGGACACCTTCTAAGCAACAAGTCCTAAAATTTTCCCTGATGAGACTTGCTTGGGTTATGTACCCACACTTGACCCGGGAAATTTAATATACCTGATTGGTTTGTATTAGTCAGGACTCACCCTGAGCCTGGTAATAGGGGGTCATCTTTCCAGAAGCACTTGGGTTTAGTGGGAAAGAAGACAAAAATGGAATTGAAATCTTGGTACTGTTGCAAGGGGGATGGGTAAGATGGTAATTGTGCAAAAAAAAATGCACCTAAGGTTAAAAAGCACAGTATGATTTGTTTTGCATCTAAGATATCACCCCAGGCCTGTGGCTTGTCCACCTAAAGATGGGTTTTATAATCCTCATATATCAGTGTTTCCCACACTTACCTGATGATGAGACTCACTTGGAGCATTTTTTTTTTTTTTTTTTTTGAGACGGCATTTTGCTCTTGTTGCCCAGGCTGGAGTGCAATGGAGCAATCTCGGCACACAGCAACCTCCGCCTCCTGGGTTCAAGCGATTCTCCTGCCTCAGCCTCCCAAGTAGCTGGGACTGCAGGCATGTAACACCACGCCCAGCTAATTTTTGTGTTTTTAATAGAAACGAAGTTTCACCGAGTTAGCCAGGATGGTCTCAATCTCCTGACCTCGTGATCCGCCCACCTCAGCCTCCCAAAGTGCTGGGCTTACGCGCGTGAGCCACTGCACCTGGCAGAACATTTGTTAAGGCTGTAGCTTCTTAGATTCCTCCTTGGAGCTTCTAAATTCGATGGATCTTGGATAGGGCCTGCGAATTTTTAATTTGAAACATTCTCCAGGTGATGCTTATGAGACCACGTCCCACCTAAAACCAATTCCAACTCATGCTCTTTCTACTCCTAAAAGCAGAGCAGATTCACTGTGGCTGCAAAGATCTTTGGGGTGAGGAGGGGCATGCTCAAATCATGACAGTTCAGTCTGAAAAAGACTTTAGGAAGGTCTTTTAGGACTTGGGCATTGTGAGTATTGGTCATGAGTCTGTAAGTGGTGAAGAAAATAATTGCTAATCCTTATTGAGTACTTAATCTGTGAAGGATGCTGAGCTGAGTGTTTTGCATGAATTATCTTCTGTAACTGATACATTTCCTTCTCTGGAGGATTTTTAGGCAAAGCAGGGACTCTCAACCTTCCAAAACATTCTTATTAAGCACTGACACCCTTATGTGTATAAAAATTAAGATCTCCCACAATAACTTTTATTTATTGAGAAAATATATAATATCCAGAAGTGATTTTTGTCAAAGTTTTCTTTTGTTGAAATTATGGAAACAAGCATGAGCTACCGTGATCAATTGTAACGTATTGGAAAGACTTCTAGGATACTCAGAGGCAGTTCTGGGAGGTGAGAAGCCAGAGCGGGACGGCAGTCAGGGTCTGACTGTGCGCTGCCTCCGTTTCTATCTCACGTTCTTGCAGCACTCTTTCCCCCTGCATCCCTGCTTCCCATGCTGAATCTGGGGTGACGAGGAGGTAGTGCCACCCCACAGTTCCCAGTTACATATTGCCACAGGGCCACTCACCTGCACCCAAAAGCTATCTTTAAATCCCAATTTCAAGTTTCTAAAAGGGAGGCTCTAGTTGGCTGAGGTTAGGCAAGGCGTCTGCCCTGGATCCAATTCCCTGAGACCGGGCAGGAGGGACTCATATGGCACAAACATGGGCCAGGAACCAGGGGCCAGTTTCTACTGGGGGAAGGAGCTTGATTCTCACAGAAAAGAAGTCTCTGAAAGCTGAAGAGAAGTCTCACACAAGGCTGTTGATACAACGGCCGTGAATCAATAGTTCTTGGTTTTTTATTTCATTCATCCCAGAAGCATCTGGAAACATTTGAAAAACTGTGGTGCTGGATGTGCCTGTGGCCTCCTAGACCTACTGCAGTAACCCTTCAGTCCTCCCTGGGTCCAAGGCCAGCACGTGGGAGCCAGCGTGTTAGAGAAACAGGAATAAACCGGGTGATTCTTAGGAGTCCTTGGTCTCTCCGATCACATCCTTGGAAAGAAATGGGAGACAGAATGCTTCACCTGCCAGAAGTGATTGGATGAAGAGCAGCAGACTTCCTCCCTGCCCTCCCCAAGGACCCTCCCAAGGGCCTTCCTCCTCCCTGCCTGGTCTGCCTCAGAGCAGGCCCAGCCACTGAGACTGCCTAGCTGGTAGTAACAGTCCAGTCTTTGCCGGAAGCTGACTGCCCACTTCCTGGCAGCTCCCAACTGCAGGAGACTAATAAAACAAGGCCTAACGAATGGATGGCACTGCAGTAACAGCGAATGTTCAGGTTTATTCTTGTTGATGATTTCAGTGGAGTAGGCCAAAGGGACTCTTATTAGTATAACTAGGAGATAAAATTCTGATGAATGAAGCAATACCTTGTTGCTTAAGGAATAGTGCGTAATTAAGAGGGTTGTTGACCCTAATTAAATGATGTTGCCAAGGTAAGCCAAATAGCACTTCTGGACCACAGAGGGAGTTTTCTGCCCAGGGCAGACTCTTCTACAAGCAGAGCAGCTAACTTTGATTCTGGTGAAGTTAAGAAATGAGCTTTGTTAAGGGGGCTTTTTAACCTACATACGGAGCTAGATCTAAAGAGTGCCAAGTGCCAGATTCTGCCTTATATAGGCCTCCTGGCTAAGAGGAAGGGACCAAGACAGAATCCAGGTTCCTGCCCACCCCAAGCCTCCACTCAGGGTCTGCAGTTGCTCTTCTGAGTGTCTGGGTGAACAGGGCCTGGTGGGGACTTTCAGAGTAAGTTTGAATAAAAAAATATAACCTGCCCACAAAACATAATTTAAAATATAGGAGTAAACCTTAAAATTTTTTCCCCATTTATTTATTTTATTGCATTTTAGGTTTTGGGGTACATGTGAAGAACATGCAAAATTGTTGCATAGGTACACACGTGGCAGTGTGATTTGCTGCCTTCCTCCCCATTACCTACATCTGGCATTTCTCCCCTTGCTAACTCTCCCCAGCTCCCCACCCCCCACTGTCCCTCCCCTATTTCCCCCCAACTGACCCCAGTGTGCAGTGCTCCCCTCCCTGTGTCCATGTGTTCTCATTGTTCAACACCCGCCTATTAGTGAGAACATGCGGTGTAAGGACACGTGCACACGAATGTTCATTGCAGCACTGTTACAATAGCAAAGACCTGGAACCAACCCAAATGCCCATCGACGATAGACTGGATAGGGAAAATGTGGTTATGCAGCCATCAAAAACGATGAGTTTGGGTCCTTTGTAGGGACATGGATGAACCTGGAAACCATCATTCTCAGCAAACTGACAGAAGAGCAGAAGATCAAACACCGCATGTAAACCTTAAAATTAATTCAAGGTATGCTAAGATGTACTGACTTCTTTCCACCGTGAGGACTTTGGCGTATCTTTTAGAAATATCTAATTCTTTCTTTTAAAGGTCTGGGGCATGTCTTAAGCATATTTCAGGGCTCCTTTTGGGTAAACTGTGATGAGTCAGAGAAAGAGGCAGGACAGACAACTAACACGCCTGAGTTCCAACCCTGGCTCTGCATCTCAAGCAGCTCTGGGACCTTGGGCAAGTCACTTAACCTTTCTGGCTCTCAGAAAAGTCATCCAGAAAATGGTGGTTCCTCAACAGGCAGCGGTAAGAATCAAATGAAATGTCACAGTGCTTTGTAGACTTAGAAGCACTGCACAAATATAAAAAGAGGGCCCTGTCGCTGGAATATTAATTATGCAAGTGCCTGAAACACGGTATGACACAACATGGTGAAAGGTTTTATATCACAAAAATATTCACAGTACCTATAAAATTGGTCCCTACTCCAAACCTCCTTACAATAAGCACTCCTTCTTGCCGGAAGCACAGGTCTGCCCCTTCCTGATGGTCTGGTACCCACAATATATGACCTTATTTGGAAATGCTGTGCAAATATACGGTAAAATGAAATCGCAAATCTGGCAATAAATGAGGGATTTCATGAGGTCACTTAAAGTGATGTTGGAGACTTCTTAATTTAGGCAGCTAAGCCACTGACCAAGAAGTCTGCAACAGAGGTAACCAATTCCCAGATAATGAAAGAAAAAAGAAAGGTTAGTGATGCTTCAGAAAAATGATTTTCATACCATAAACTTAAAAGAAGCTCTTGCAGAAAATGATAAAAATTCAAAATTACTTGTGTTTTATAAAAATTATCCTTTTGGGGGATTGTGCTACAAGTTAAATGTGAAGAATTTGGTAGAGGCAATCATAATTGTGTTGGAAAATTTTCAATATAAAGTTTATTTTATACATTCTTTAAGAATTAGCTGATAGTTGATATTACAACTTAAATTTTTTTCAACATAAAATAAGCTGATTTTATAGCTTTTAGCTTTCTTTTCTAGGCAAAATCACAAGACATTTGTTGTGCTTTTTTGTTTGTGTTTTGCTTTTGGGTTTTGTTGTTGTTTTTGCTTTTTACCACAATCTTTCTGGTAAATGTTTTAAGTGGAGTCACTTTCAAGTGACTTTTATTTCTTCTGATATGAAGCAGTCTCAGATAATGAGAAACTTTTGTAGCTATTTAATTATTACTGCTGCTTTTATTATTTCCCAGTACCTTTCAATGGAAATGGTGTTGACAGTCTCCTCAAGCCCAAGAGAGGCAAAGGAATGAACTCCCAGCCTTTTGAAAATGGTAAGTCCAAGAGCTGCTCTTTCAGAGAGAAGGCCAACATGGCTTGGACACCAAACAGTGAGAAGTGAGCCCAATTTTCTCGGCAGGTGTGATGTTGGCATGCCAGGCCGGTGCAGGGTGTTCTGGGAGAGGGGCAGGACAGAGACTGGACTGCCATGGCCTCTGGACCCCACCGACCACAGGCTGGACTGGGCCACTCTACTTGCCAGGCACAACACACATCCCCATTCTCTCCGACGGTTCCACTGCTCCCTCCCCAACACTGAGGAGGATCAAATCTTAATCAAAAGAGTTGACGTTTCAGGACGTCCTTGACAGAACCTTTGCAGACAGCCAGGATGCCGTTGTCAGTGCCCTTAGACACAATAGGGCCCACCTTACCAACAGGTTGCTTGAGGAATTCAACACGCCAAAATCCTTCGTACTCTGTCCCTCCAGGTCCTGGGCCACCATTCAGGGAAAATACACAGCTGGAAGATAAGATTGCAGGGTGCTGCTAGGGGGACCTGGGTTCAAATCATAATTCTGCCACCTTACTTGTTGTACAGCCTCAGGTAAGTTACCCAAATTGTCTAAACTTGTTTTCCTGTCTGTAAAATGGGAAAGGGTTCATTATAGATCTACCCCATGGAGCTTGGGGTGTGTCCTAGGTCAGATTCCTCAGAAGCAGATCCTGAGAGGAGAATTCAAATGCATGGGATTTATTTAGGACATGCTCCCACTAAGGAAGTTGGGGAAGTGAGCAGGAACCAAGTGAAGCAAAGCATGATACAGCTTCCCAGCCTGATGCC